CAGATACTCCCTTCACCCTGGCCAAAAAGGCTAAAATGACCAAAGAAAAAGTGGGAAACAGTTAAACATGAGAGGTTTTTGGAGAAAGTTGGTGGTTTTTTTCCCCCATTGATTAAGCACTGCTTCCAGTCAACAGTGATACCATAAATCCCCTATAGCTGCAGAAAAGGCTGACATTGTTGCCTTTTTTACAAAAAAACAGCTAAACATGAGAGGTTTTTGGACAAAGTTTGTGTTCTTCATTCTTTAAGCACCGGTTCGAGCACCGTTTGAGCACCGGCACCGTTTTAAAAGTACCGGTTTGGTACTGGTATCGGTTAAAACCTAAACGATACCCATCCCTACTCCTGGGTGTTGACTAATGATGTCAGACGTTCGTGTGATGCTACACAAAGGATAGTTTGTGATGTGTTCTCATGAAATGACATTTTCTAATGCCTTCGCAGATATTCAAATTCACTTTTATTTTTATTTATGCATGCAACAAGTCATTTTAGGGCACTATGGAGTGACATAGAGAAGGTTAGATGGAGCTGAACTAAGTCTTCATGGTTCTAGAGAAAGCATAGAACATGTATGAGGACAACAAGGCAGCGGTGAGGCGTCTGCTAGGAGTCACAGATGGATTCAAGGTAGATGTGAGATTACATCATGGATTGTCTCCAAACCCCTTCTTGTTTTCTACACTGATGACAGGTTGACAGATGAGGTCAGACAGGAGTCTCTGTGAACTGTGATATTTGCACAGTTCACAGATTACATTGTGATCTTTGGTGACAAAAAACAGGACTCAGAGCTGGAGGTGGAAGTATGGAAGATGTTAAGATTTTCACTGAGATTATACCATATGAGAATCAGAAATGAGTATATCAGAAGGAAAGCTCAGGTTGAGCATTTTGGAGACCAAGTTAAAGGAAGACTGAGATGGTTTGGGCATGTTAAGAGGAGGGATAGTGGTTCTATTGGACCAAAGATGTTGAATATGGGACTGCCAGGCAGGAGGAAGAGACCTTAGAGGTGGTTCATGAATGTCGTAAAAGAGGAGTCAAGATGTAAGTAGAGCAGAGAGAAGCAGAGTCTCTGCTGTAGCGACTCCTGAAAAGAGCATGCAAAGAAGAACATTTTAGGGCTCTAAATTTTGTGAGGCAGAGACCTGCGAAGAGAAATCAAACAACAAAAGGTATGGGGAAGTGCTTGCACGGAAACACCAACACTTTTTTTTTTTTGTTTACCTCTACAGTACATCTCTCTGTATCTCCCACAGTGATCAAGGGAGGCCCACTCGATAACCCCTACAGACTGAAACAATTTCATTTCCACTGGGGTGGAAAAGGACATGAAGGCTCTGAACACACTGTTTCAGGAGAAGGCTTTGCATCTGAGGTAGGTTTCTGTTGAGTTTAAATCCTTTATCTCAGTATCTGATGGCCAAATGCAGGTTAAGAAAACTTATATAATTATAATAGGGTGTGTGTACTGGTAAAAATGTATATGGTAACAGGTGGTGGTGCAGACTTTGCTATAAAAAGATATTTATACTCATAAAAAGATACTGATATTCTCTTATTTCATAGCACACAGAAAGGGCTGCAATGTGGTATGCATGACTTCATTTATTTACCTTATTTTTCTTATTCTTTTTGTTTCCTCGCTTGTAGCTTCATTTAGTTCACTGGAATGCTGTCAAGTACAAAACGTATGGAGAGGCATCAACTGCGCCCGATGGTCTTGCCGTTCTTGGTATCTTTTTAGAAGTAAGACATTTCTCTCAATCCCATCTTCTGTCCTCATGCCCGATAATGATAGTATGAAACCATCTTAGTGGAAGTTAATAATATGTGAGAAACGTGGCGCATGCATGTGTGTGTAAAAATATATCTATCTGTTATGTAAGACAGGTGATGACCACAGATGGCTCCACATGATAACGGATGTTCTGTACATGGTGAAGTATAAAGTGAGTAGCCTAGCTGTGATTGTTGACTTATTTTATTGCATATATAAAAAAAAGAATGGTCTGTGAGTTGCATTTTTGCAGTGTTGCAGCTATATTGTCTTTATGTTTCAGGGCAGTATCACAGATTTCAAAGGTTTCAACCCCAACTGCCTGCTTCCCAGCAGTCTTCACTACTGGACCTACCTCGGCTCTCTAACCACACCTCCGCTACACGAGAGCGTTATCTGGATCATCCTGAAGGAGCCAATCGAAGTGTCTGAAAAGCAGGTGAGTGCTGCAATTGTGACCACTTTACACACCCAGTTTCTAACTTAGGCAGTGCTTTTGTTTTGCATTAGAAACGTTTTCTGTTCTACAAAATGGAGATGGAGAATTGTGGCTATATTGTCATGACATGATTGTGTTGGGGATGAATCATTAACAGTAAATGAGTCTATACTCCACCAATAATCTTATCTGTAATAGATAATGATTATTCCACGTTCTGTTATACAGCCACTCAGAGACATCATTAAGTAGTACTCAGCAGTGGGTAATGACTCTGGCAAAAGCTCTGTTTTACTAAAGTAGAAGATCTACAATCGTTGCTTCAGAAGAAGAATATCAGGTGTGATCGTTTTTTCATAGCGTTTAGTTAAAAAATGAACGTATTAAACAGAACCGTGAAACTGTCAGAAATTGTGACCTACATTCATCTGTAAGCCAGTATAGCTTGAGGCATTGAAGCGCCAGTTGATCACTCAGTTGTGACAGCCACGAGTCTTCGTCTGTATTATGGTTGGCTATGCTCCACTGGTCTCCAGGGAGTGTATAGAAAGAAAAAAATAGCCTTTAGGGGGAGGGGTGGTCTAGCACATAAGCACAGAGCCCACCACCCCTTCCCTTATCAGAGTCTTTGTTTTGCGGTCCTGGCGGTGTAGGGTCTGACCTGGTAACTCCAATGAGGCAGTGGATGTTTGGATGAAGCCAGGACTTACAGTCAGCAGACAACACCTCCGGACAAAGTGGTTGTAGTAAATCTGGCATTGGTAATGAAGAGGATGGAAGCGGTGATTTGTGTTGTTTTCGCAGCTGGAGTGATAGCAAGCGCTCCATCCCTACTTTTCTCTTGCGTTTCCTCTCCCTGTGCCGTCTGCATTGCTTGCTGTTCCCGACAGTAAACCACAGAGGACACAGTGGTCTTGCAATCTCAGGTGGGATACTGTTGGTCCAATCCGAAGTAAAGTCCAGGTTCAAAGCTGAGACAGATGTCTGTTAGTTCCTGAAGAATGAAAGTGATCAGTAGATTGCAGGAAGACTCAACGAAAAGGTGTAAAAACATAAAAGGTGCACAATAGTTGGGAGTGCTGTGCCGCTGCATACGTCCATATGTGCTGCCATCTTTGCACCAGTCAAGGTTTCCTTTGTTTTCAAACCACAGTTCATAAAGATCTTTTTTTTTTTATCCACGCCTCTTAGCACAGAATTTAATCAGAAAGTTAAGGTCTGATAACTGCAGGATGTCAAAATTAACTAACTGGATGCCTGCACATGCCTTCCAGGTCCCCCTGTGAGTCTCTTGTAGCCACTGCTGGCCAGTCTCAGGATTATTCTATTAATTTGTTGATTTTTTTTTTCCCTTTATTTTCTCTAGTTGCCTGTTTTGCAAATCTATAATTGTACATGAGGAACCAGAGGTTTTATTGGTGGAGGCACTGTTGGTGTTGGTCATGAACTATCTATAAACCCATATCTGTAGCATTGCTTGGGGTGAATGTAAGACAGGCAACTGGCCCCACAGACTATAACTCCATTCCTCAAGCCTTTGATCCCCTCCAGCTGATTATCCTGATGGGTGACTGGATGGGTACAGGGATTTGATTGAAAACTGCTTACATGGAGACCCAGCAGGGAACAGCCTTTATATAATAAGGAATTACTCCTGTAGGAATTACTGTTTTTCATTTCCCTACATAATGGTAGACACAGAGTTAGAGAGGAAGTGCCAAATTCTAACTTGGTTTTGTGGGTACTTGTAAGTTTAGGAAGCTGTTTTATCTGTGCCATGGAGCTGTATTAAAACTCATCAGTGAGCCACAGCTTTGCAGTGAGAAACACTAGAAGGTCATTAGAAAGTTCTAAATTGATCTAAGCTGATCCTACGTGTGTTCTGCTGTCAGTGCAGCATCAAACTGCCTCTAAAAAATTTGCTAAACCTGCTGCTGTTTGAGTAATTATTGCAGAAAACTGCCCAAGTGCTGTAGGCAATTGTTTACAGAAATCTGTTTTTGAATTATGACTACAGTATAAGTGTGCTTGGAGATGGGAAGCCAGGTTTGCTTTAGAGATGAGCATATGTTGTTGATTATTGGACCTTTCATGGGATTTGTTAAGTTATACTCTGCATATTTGTCTTATTATAGCATCTAATATGGAGGAAGGGTTGTGCAGGAAATGAATGTCTTTTCCAGAGTTCATGTTTCTGTCCCTCTGAATGCAGCTGGGGATGTTCAGAATGCTTCTGTTCACCGAAGAGGACGACGATCAGAAGATGCGGATGGAAAACAACTTCAGGCCTCCCCAGCCTATCAAAGGGAGGAGAGTGCGTTCCTCCAATTAATATGACCTCTGGAGGTCTGAAGTCATAAATAACCAACGCTGTTTTTAGACAACAGTAACTGCAATAACACGAGAATACTTTCACCTCACGATAGCTTATCTTGAAGGGTTTGTGATTGTAGGTAAAACAGAAGTAAAACGCTGCAATAATTGTCATCCCTGGTGGTGTACCCCCCACCCATGTGAAACTTTAATGGCAGTAGAGGGAATTATTTTAGGGGCCAAAAAAAAGGATTTTGTTAAGTTTACTAGGAAGTAGAATAAAACCAGCATTTACAGTCATTATTATCATTATCACAATCACAAACTGTAAGTTTAATAGGTTGCACCAATACTTGAACCAACGATTAAGGAAAACAAGAGGGCACAACAACAAGCACAAAACCTTTTCACTCCTTTTATCATATATACCTGCTAATCCCATATCGTTGTAGTCTGTAGCTGTTTCCAGACTAATGCCATATCCCTTTGCTGTCTGCAGATCTAAACTCCCCTTACTGATTGCCATTGATTCCTTGTTAATCCAGCCTGGATTCCCAGTCCTTGTGGCTATAGATTCCTTCCAGTAGGGCCAGTGATGCTTTTATCTCAACTGCTCCGTGGACCATAATTGAGTGCATGAAAGTCAGATCGGTTTACAGTCCACAAATGCTATTAATCCCAAAACATGGTAACTGTTAAGGTCTTATTAAACTTCAGGAGTCCAAACAAGGCCCTATTTAAAATCTTTGAAGCGTTCTGTGATGATCAGATCATTATTAATTCTGTCGGGAGCATCACACGATGGTTATTACTGTGCAGGATGTATTATTATTATTATTATTATTATTATTATTATTATTATTATTATTATTACACCTGTGAATCAGCAACAGGGGGAAAAAAGTTATAGAGTTTTCACCTAAAATCTGTGTTCGTGTTCACCATTTGAGTTGCTGTAACAGTTGCGTGACTGTAACCTTTTACCTGTTATCCAGAATTAGGTGGAGTAATTAAAGCAAATGTTTAAACTCTATCATTGATTAGAAGAGGCAAGAGTTCAAGGTAATTAGTAGCTAGGTTGAAGAGCAGTGGGAAATCTGGGCTGTGATTGGTTAAATATTTACCACCTGTGTTGAAGATGTCTAAGAATACACTGCTTTGAACAACTGAAAATACAAAATGTTAAATACTATAATGTTAAAATGTTAAGAATCAATGTATTAGCAAATATTTTGTAAGGAGAAGGACTTAATGTCAGAAAACTGTAATATATGTTTCAGTATGTATTACTACCAGACAGAAAACATAGTACAGCAATACATAAACGTGATAACCACCATACTTGGAGAAGTCCCGTAACATTTTAGAATACAGAGCCGAATTGTTTTGCTGTCGTATATTTATCGACATATATCTATGGTCCCTAGAATTTAGCTACAATATTTGTCCAGCAGATGGCAGGTTTGGCTGTTTTATTAAAGTTCTAGACTGAATTCTTATTTTTCTGCTATTCATCAGAAATATTTTCATAAAATGAAATTTATATTTACATGTCTGTTTAAACATTTAAATGGTTATTTAAAATATGTAGCTGTTCAAATACTGCTTTATTTAATTTACTGTATCATTAAATAAATGCTTTTTTTCCTCCTGCACCTTGTTTCTACATTCTTAAATTGTTATTTTCTTTCTCAGATTTATTTTATTCTCATTCAGATTTTAGTTACCTATTTATTTGATCTCTAGCATATTCAGCTTGTGTTTATCGTCCTGCAGGTGGCAGTGTCTGCTCTCATTTGTATCAAATCCAGTAGCTACTGATTTGTTTTACACTGAACGTGATAAAAAAATTCACAGAAAATAAATAATTTACAACAGTGCATAGAAACCAATGGTTAAGTAAATTAAGTGATGCATTACTGGCAGGAGAAATACAACATTGTCATCAATGGCATATTTTATCTTACATCGGAGAAAATAACTTCGATAACACTTGACCTTGTCATTGCTGTCCTTTGTCACTGTGTAGGTGTTCAAGAGGTTGCATTACCTCACCTGGTTTCATTTCCACCTGATGTCTATGGAAAAATTCTGCCTCCTGGCTAATGAATAAAAAATGAGAGTAGGCGTATGAAGTATATCTGACACATATTCTCAAGTAATCCCTCAAAAATAGCATCAGTGAGCTTTATTGGGACTGAGAATACCTGAGCGGGCACATCATCTTCAGCCACGATCGATATGCCATGTAATAAAATACTACAGTCAGACCTCAGAAATAGTCGATCACATGTATTTTTAGCACCAGGATATCTACTTGCTTGTCATAGTGATTATTTTGCCAGACAAAGCAACATCTGAGCAACACTGTGAAATACAAACCCGCGGGATAAAAAGTTGTTGTTCAGGCAAAAGAAGAAAGTTGTCTGGAGAGTGTCGTGACAGTCCATGTATTTGTGGAGTACAGAGAAATGTGCGGTGCTGGGGCCAATCATCAATATTGTTTTATCAGTGCCAAAAGTATGTTGACACATACTGCTTTGTTAAAAAGTGGTACTAGTAATAAAATGTGCACAAAAACTAAAGGTAAATGTGGTAAAAGTGGCCTTGTCGGTGTGCTTGTACTTAAGTGTATTGAATAAAGTGCTTCATGAACATATGGTTAAATGTGTTATATGTGCTATATACATGGAAGCACATTATGTATCTGGTTTAGTGTTTTGGCTGCGGTAACACAGGAATTTCCAGAGTCCTCAGGTAAATAAAGTATTTCTCATCTAATCTTACATCATGATTTATTATGCAACTGTTTTCAAACATGCATGAGAAACATTTTATATACACTTAAAATCTTTAACAATGCACTATTTTCAAAAGCTCATAAGAGAATCTGTAAAACGCTATGTTGCTTGTCCAAAAAGTGTAAAGCATAAAAACAGATGGAGTATTTTGTATTAAGTGAAGCATTAAAATGTAAAGACTCAAGAACAAATGAATGCATGAATGTGTACATAATGAATGTGTATGTTTCACCAAAACTTAAGGGTCGCACAGCAGTTTGAGAGAAGCAGAAAGAGAGTAAGGGATAAACAGAGGATGTTATCATTTTGGACAATGGTGAGTGAAGCATCCAGTGTTTTTGGAGCCTGGCTGACATTAGAGGGTAAAGGCTTCTGCTGCTCTAGCTTGTTTTTTATACAGACTTTCTTTTTAATTTATTAACCTCTGTCTAATTCTAAATTGCTATATTGCTATAAATTGCTATATAGCCCTTTTTAAAATGAACCAGTCTTGTTGCACTGTTACACAGCTGTGTTATGATATAAATTAATTCAGTCTGTAGCAAACCTAATATGTACCCCATCCAAACCAAACTACTATAGTAGATCTAACCTTCTAAGCATTTTCTCTAACCTTTTTCTTATGATGCACACCGAGTCACTTTTTCTGAGCAGTAAAACTAAACCTGAGATGCTCCACTCCTAAATCACTTTAAGGACAGTGTCTCTATCTGGCAATCAGGGGACACAGTCACAGTGCAGTTTCCATGGATACAAACAGCACATGTAGCACAACACAAACGCTTGGCCAGCTTATATCTCCCCTACTTGTGTATGAGCCAGTGATCCATCGCCATCACCCTGTCAGAAAATAAAACCGTACTACAAAAATATCTAACGCTTCTTTCCCCTTATGACACCCCCCCCCTTCCCTCCACCACCACCACCACCTCACTCCTGGTGACACGTGTGTGTTTCTGTATTTAGCTTTATTTAGCTGCGTGTTATCTGGGATTATTTTGTGTGGATTGTTAGTGGTTCCCCGCTTATTCCAGCCACACACAGCACCTGTCTTTCCCAGATACTAATATCTGGCCTACACCTATTCTGGTTCACGGTCACGGTCATAGCAACTTGCCAAACAACATACACATTTAATGGGTTGTAGATACACACCAAAAACATTAAGGTTGTCGGGCAGTGGCCTTGGTTTGCTGAGCGTGTTATAAATCATAGCAGGAGAAGAGATGAAGTTCCCTCTCCGGGTCAGACTGTTGGTGGTCTGTTATGATATTTAAAGAAAACAGAGTGTTGCTGTCACGGGGAGAGGTCACGTAATGTAATTCAATACTTGGCTGTCAGCTTCTACACCACTTTCAGAAAACAGCATTATGTCTCTTCATAACTTGGTTAATCAGTATGCCTAAGTTGACTTATAAACAAATTTTTATTATGTGAGCTGGGGTGACTGAGTGGCAGTCATGCTCTGACCCTAGTCTGACATCTGATCTTGACAGTGTGGGGCTGCTCAGGAGGGGGTCATGACAAATTCTCAGTGGGTGACAGACACCTAAATGCTCTTCAGGGAAATTACTTTACTCAGTAGCTCTTAGTAAAGCCCCTTTTGTCAATGTAAGACCCAGTGTTTGTCAAGAGTTTCTATAGCAACACAGAGTCACAGCTAATTCAGAGCTCAGTCAACCCTTATTCATTTCCTGCACTCCTGTTTAAAATCAGTGTCACAGACATTTGGCTGGCCGGGTAGATATGTAAAACCAGTACACTTCAGCATCAGAGCTTTACATCCGGAGATATTTTAGTCAAAGAGTTATTATAAGTTGCCACAAAATTTATTAAATATTAATAAAAAATTATCTAGAGAGGCTTTTGGTTCATGAGATGGAAATATTAATGGGCCGAGCCGTTTTCCAGGTTGGATTGTAGAGAGTGATTAATGCAGTACCTAAGAAGTGAAAATTCCCTGGCTCTGTTTCAGGAGGAGACACAAATCCCTTTGGGGGCAGCTGGAAGGGCATCCAGTGTAAAAATCTGCCAAAACAAACATGCAGAGCTACCAGCTGTGGAAATCCTGTAATGAACAGACAGCAGCTGAAAGCTGTTTTTATCAAATTGAAAAAGTAAAACTCACAAAGCATTTTATAAAATATTATCATACCAACAGGTGGCAGTTTGATGGCCAGCTTTGCTGCTTCAGGACCTGGATGAGTCACCATAACTGATTAAACTAGAATGCCTATAAAAAATATTCATAATTCTTCAATGGTTCACCCTTTTATTGCTTTAATAAAGGAAAACATGGTCAATATAATTAGTCTGTTTTTTGACAAAAAATGTGCTAAAAAGGCCTATTGCATGTCAAAGTGAAAACAGAGGTTTTCAAACTAATATCAATTATTTAAAGATATACGTAGTTGAATGGAAAAATCTTGTTGGACATGCAACTGGCTGAGGCTGTGAAAGCTGTATGGGAGTGCAACAAAGAGAAAGGCACTGCTGAAAAAAGCTTCTATTAAATCTCACCTGGAATTCTCCCAAAGGTTTGTGTGAGACTCCAACATTGATTGGAAAAAGGTTCTTTGGTCTGATGAGACAAAAACTAAACAGTATGTTTGGCAGAAACATACATGCATACATTCATTTATATTTATATATTTCCCAGGTCTGACAGGGATAGGCCGATGTGATCATCCCTCTGTCATTTTCTCTGGATTGTCTCCAAAAACATCACAGGCCCTGTGCCAGTTTCATCCCTGCCGCATCTGCTATCTGCTGCGACTCCCACAAACAACAACCACTGACACGTTCAAGTCAGAGGGGTCAGTCATGCACCCAGGATCATCACAAGTTTCCAAGATTCCAACCTCCCCATGTTCACTGAGTCAAAAATAGGCTCAGTTAGCCTTTTATAAATCTGAGTGTGTCTATAAAAAGCATTTGGCTGACCAGAAACCTCGGCTGAAGCGACATAACCCTATCTTTAGCTTTATTTATGTCCTGGTGTTGACAGCGCCACTTGCAAAGCTTTCCAGTCACTGTTCAATAGGTCACATGTGTGCTGGG